GAACAAAGAATTAAAAACGAATCAGATTTTAAATAAAGAGAAAGAAGATACTAAACATTATTTTAGTTGAGGGGAAGATGCAGAACAGAAAGGAAGAGGCAACAACAGGATGGGGCCTCAAGCTAAGTGTGAATCAGCACTTTAAGGCTGGTACTAAAATAAGCAACTGGATCCAGGGTTCTATAAACCACAGAGAACTGGGAAGTTGATAATTTTGCTCTGTCCTAGCAAAGGCTCAGTCTGTTAAGAGTAGCCTAGGAGAAAGCAAAGGGGGAAATGAAAGAAGAAGTCTAAGCAGATGAGAAGCTGCTTTTCATAACCATCACTAAAGGCCAGAGAGGAGGGACTAGGGTAGTAAACATTACAGCAGGGGAAATTAGCTAAAACAGGTCCTGAAATTGGTCCTATTATATCAACAGAGGCTTCCAGAATGTGGTATACACTATAAGCGCTGGGCTGGTATCAGGACTCCTGAGTTCCTGTCCACTGAATTAGAGGGGGTAGCTTGGGCAAATTAATCCTTTTCTATAACTTGATTTACCCATCTAATCAACTTCTAAGTATTGTTCCTGCTTTAATACTAAATGACTGGGTGACCATCAAATTCAGTTCCCAAGATACTGGCACTGAAGAGAGTTTCCTAGAAGGTAGTAGCTGCAATACATTGCTAAGAGTGCTGTGGAGTCTTGGGAATGACCCTAGGTATCAGCTTCCTTCTGCTAGTGATGCACCTGTTGTCATTGTTATCTTCTTTTGGTGTCCCAGCAGCATCACCATCCTCTGCATTTCTTTCCTCTCCTCTCCATCCAACATCAAGTCCTTCCATCTTTACCATTATGGCTCTCACAGATGATCACAAAAGCTAAAATCAGAATAAACACTAATCACTTATTGCCTGAAATTTTTGTGTCCATTTCTGTAAATGAACTAAGCAGACTACAGTGGAATCATCTGATTACCAACCTAGCTCCACCATACTGTGAACATCTTGAGGTCAGGGGCTGCATTGTATTCATCCTTGGCTTCCCAGCACCATCAATGCCTGGCACACAGTTTAGTTTGAGTGTACTGTGTCTACTGGGGGGGAAAGAAGTGCAAAACAACAGCAGGTAATTTTGTGGCAGGCCTCCAACTTCTTGGGAAGCATATTTTGATCTCTTTTCCTTCCTTGAAAGAATTTAATATGCACTGTAGAATCCTTTTTTTTTAAAGAGAGAGAGAATTTTAATATTTATTTTTCAGTTTTCAGCAGACACAACATCTTTGTTAGTATGTGGTGCTGAGGATCAAACCCCGGCCGGACGCATGCCAGGCGAGCGCGCTACTGCTTGAGTCACATCCCCAGCCTCACACTGTAGAATCCTTGAATAAATGGTTCCTCCAAATGTAATATCCTAATTTCCAGCTAACCCCTCAAACAGGTCAGGGAGTAACTTCCACATCCACATCTCTAAAGAGACAACAGTTATTAGTAATCTCAGTAGCCCCATCCTAATTTGCACAATCTGTGTCTCAGTTCACATTCGGCTTCCACCTAGTATACTGCACTCCAACTAGAAAAACTTGCTTCCAGTCCCCTGCACAGACTCGCATACTCAGTTCTTTTTTTAATAAGATCGCCTCATTTCCTAAAGACGTCTTTTCTCTCTGCAGTTGTTGCTCCCTTTCACATCCAGATCTGGAGCCCTGGCTCCTTTAGGCACTCTCCCACTAGCAATTCCAGACTCAGAGCCAACCTCTCAGGCTGTAGCTAAACCGCAACCTGGGGCAAGAAATACAGTTGACTTGCCCACGCCACACGAATACTCCTAGAATGGAGAGACGTTTTCTGATACAATAAATAGTCACAGTGAGTTGAACTCAACATTTCCTGCCAGGTTGTTTGTTATTTTCCAATGTTGATGTGCTGGCTAATTTGTTTTCTGGAAGGAATGAGTCTAGGCTCACGTTTGAAGATCCTGTTCAATGGGGTCGATGCTCCCCTGCCACAGGCAAAGTGAGGACCCACTGACCCAGCCTGGGGATGTCCCCACGGGGGCCCCCAGCCTGCTGCTCTGGGCTGCACCCTGAGCTGGGCTGTTTGGGGCTGTGGATGGGCCTTGGCGTCTGCGGTCCAGGCTTCGAGGCTGTGGGTGTCTTTGGTGTGGGGATGGGGTGGCCTGTAGAGCCTGGCCAATGCAGGGCAGCCCTGGGGGCAGGGAGGCCCAGGCCGCCTGCTTGCTGGCTGGCGCGAGGCACGCTGGGAGCCGCAGCACTTCCTCCCGGGGCCTCTGGAAACCACAGCGAGCTGGGCCAGCGGCCCCTGAGCGGCAGGATGGCCGAGGGCAAGGCGGGCGGCGCCGCGGGCCTCTTCGCCAAGCAGGTGCAGAAGAAGTTCAGCAGGGCCCAGGAGAAGGTAGGCGGTGGGGCCTGGGCTGAGGAGGAGGGTCCCCGCTGACCCCCCGGGAAGTGGGGTGGGGAGTGGGTGTCCATGAAAACTGGCAGATGGGAGAGAACGGAGAACACCAGGCCATCTTGAGCAAGGCTGGGCGAAGCCCAGGAGACAACGGTTTCTGTCAGGAACAACCCTCAGGCTGACCCAGAAAATGTGACAGAAAGGAGCCAGTGTTGGCGGCCATCCACGCTGCAGGGTTCGTCCTGGTAATAAGGCCAGGATGGTGGCCTTTTTACAGATGATGAAATTGGAGGGTAATTTCCCTAAAGGCAAAGACGGTGACAACCAGCTGTGATGCCCGACACTAAAACTTGGCTTTTGACATCCCCTGAGGACTCAAGAATCTACATAATTCTTTCTGTACCTACCCCTTCCTGGCCTCTGGTGGTGGTTTAATGACCCATATCTGCTTCCTGTACCCTCCCTTTGGCGTTGGAGACCACACTGTCCAGGATGATGGAGCATCTCTTCAATTGTGCTCTTCTTATCTGGGTAGCCTACTCCAGCATTGGGTAGGCTGCCCATTACAACTTAACCTACCTGTCCAGATCAGGTAGACACACTCTGTACATTTTAATGGCATTTTTGTAACTGTCCAATGTATTTTTTTTTTTTTTTTTTGCTTCTAACTTCCACCTACCAACAACCTAGTAGACAAGGTGGTACGGGAAAACAGGTAAGCCAGAAGAAAAAGGGGGATGGAGATACAAGAAGGACTTCAGATACAGTCTTGGTTTTCTAAGAGTTACAGTCTTAGAAGCATATAGATGAATAGCACAGGCTTAACAACTGAAATATTTGTATTGTAAAGGTGAAGAAGCAGCTTTGGAAGGATAAAGGGCAACCAACTCTCTCTCAAGTGGGTTATCAATTGAGCAGTGATGGAATATAGATGTCATTCCTGATTTTAAGAGACCACAATGGAGGGCTGGGGTTGTGGCTCAGTGGTAGAGCCCTTGCCTAGCATGTGTGAGGCACTGGGTTCGATTTTCAGCACCACATAGAAATAAATAAAAAATAAAGGTCCATCAACAACTAAAAAAAAAGAGACCACAATGGAGCCAGATGTGGTGGTGCAGGCCTGTAATCCCAGCAATTCGTGAGGTTGAGACAGGAAGATCATAAATTCAAGACCAGCTTCAGCAATTTAGAGAGGCGCTAAGCAACTTAGACTCTCTCTTAAATAAATAAATAAATAAATAAATAAATAAATAAATAAAAAGGGCTGGGGAAGTGACTCAGTGGTAAAGTGCCCCTGGGTTCAATCTCCAGTGCCAAAAACAAAAACAGAGATCACAATGGAAGGGAGAGGATCTATATACTTTTTCTGTCTTTTGAAGTCCTGTGAAACAGAAGAGGAAAAGGGCAAGATTTTATGTGTTGAACTTAAGTTACTTCGCTTACTCTAACCTTGGTGGTTGTTTCAGCCTTTCTAAAGGCTGATTACAAATCTGATAGATCAGAGAGAGTGACTGCTTATGAGAAGGTTGGGTTAGAAACAGTATGGGGGAGCAGGAGTTACCCCAGAGAAAGCCACATTGTGGTTGAAAAAAAGAACAAAAACCCCAAAGGAAAAGAAAAAGGAAGGAAAAACCATCTCACAAATAATAGCATTTTTTTTTTTTTTTTTAAGAAATGCCAAGGGCGAGGGATGGAACTCAGTGGAAGAGTGCTTGCTTAGCATAACCAAAATCCTGGGCACCACAAAACAAAATCTTTAAAAAGACATAGTAATTAGCTGGGCATGATGGTGCACATCTGTAATCCCAGCAGCTCAGAAGGCTGAGGCAGAAAGACCGAAAGTTCAAGGCCAGCCTCAGCAACTTAGTGACACCCTAAGCAACTTAATAAGACCCTGTCTCAAAAAAAATAGAAAAAAAGGCTGGAGATGCAGGTCGGTAGTTAAGCACCCTTGGGGTTCAACCTGGTTAAAAAAAAAAAAAAAAAAGATACACTAATTGATTTTTTTTAAAAAACCAGGAATTGAACCCAGATGTGCTTTACCACTAAGCCACATCCACAGCCCTTTTTATTTTTTATTTTGAGACAGGGTCTCACCAAATTGCTTAGGGCCTCACTAAATTGCTTAGGCTGGCTTTGAACTTGCAATCCTCTTGCCTCAGCCTCCTGAGTTGCTGGGATTACAGGTGTGCACCACCATGACCAGCTTGCTTCACTCTTTCACTCTGTCTTGACCTAGTCTGTCATCAACACTGTGCCTTTACTTTGGGCTTTCTCTCCTTTTTAAGCATGGACTCCAAAATCTCAAGTAATGCCTGCTTTAGACTTTAAATCTTGCGTCTATAAAATAAGAGAGTTGATATTCTTTATGAAATTCAGAGTGGCAATCCAAATTGAAAAGGAGAGGGGACTTGAACCTCAGAGTCAAATATTTCCCAAAAGGAAAACCAGCCACCCAGCTAGCACCCTCTTCTTCCTGCCCTGAACCCTTACGAGGTGGGGAAAGAAGAGCAAACATGAGTCTGCCCTGGGAAACTTCCAGGTTGATGCAGAAAACAGCATACTCTGAACACATACTCAAATATAGGAAGAGACAGACATGGAACTTGAAGTGGTAGCCAGAGGTACTGTGTGGACAAGGGAGAGAATGGTATGGGAAGATGGAGCTGGTTCAGTTCATTCAGCTCCTAACCAGAGTCGTTGTGTCTTGGGAGGTAACTGATAATAAGGTAAAGAGGGAGACAATTTCAGTAAAGAGAAAGGATATAATCTTTTAAGTATAATAATGGTTAATGTGTCAAATATCATGCGCCTGTGATGGAGCAGGCACAGGAACATAAGAAGGCATGATCTCTCCCTTATGGAACCAACATTCTAGCAATATGATCTTACTTCATCTCTTCAACACACTTTAAATAAGATGTTTGTATTCCATTTTTTTTTTTTGGTCCTGGGGTTTGAACCCAGGGGTTTGCATATATTAGGCAAGTGCTTTACCACTAAGCTACACTCTCAGCCCCAGGATCCCAATTTTAGAAATAAGGAAACAAGTTTCAAAAGAGATTGGCAAATGGCAGAAAAATTACTGAAACCCAGGTGTTCTGCCTTTGAATAACCTCAGGCTGCTGCCTCTGCAAGGTTCCTGATAAACCACTCGGACATCTGTGCCTCCCCACTTCCTGCTGATCCTTTCTCAGAAGGATCAGGGGTAGCAGTGGAAACAGGCTCATCTTCCCCTGAAAAACTGGGAGTAATGGTCAAGTGACTGTTAAACACAATAGAGGTGAAACATTCTTCTTGTTTTGTTTTCCAGTTCCCACTCAAACACAACATGAGACTGGGTTCAGGCTGGCTTCATTGTATTTTTACAGTTTGTTACATCTTCACATTTCAGACTACTGCTTTCACCATCTGTTTGTGATTTCTCTGTGGCAGACCTCTCAGATCTCCCCTAAGTAAGAGCATTTTTTAATACTCCTTTGTTGGTCTTTTTCTCTGTTGACTTTTACTCAACTTCTATCCCAGAGGATTTAATTCATCAAATATTTGTGGAAAATTTCTTTGTTCAGGGGACTTGGCTGGATCCAGAATAAGAGGCAATCTTTTCTTGCCTGTCAGAAGCTTACAATCTAGTAAAAAAAAAAAAAAATAAAAGAGAGCTGAGAGATACATACATCTATGGGAATTCAGAAAGAGTGGGGAGAATGGAGGGAGGCTTAACTCTGGAGGCTGAATTTGAAACAGGAATTATGGATGATTCCTAGTTCCTCGGGCAAGTGGGTGAGAGAGCATTCCAGCCAAGGAATGCCAGCATAATCCAGCAGGAGTCTGTAAATCCTTTTAGGCAAAGTAGTGAGAAATGCAGCTGAGCCCGGGGACAGGGAGTGGTAGAAGAAAGGGGTGGAAAAAGTATATTGAGGCCATTTTAAGGAAAGCTCACTTCAGCATATATCCTAAAGATTTCTCACATCAACACAACAAAATTATTGCACCTAGAGAAAAATAATGCTTCATAATATCTAACGTCCAGACCCTGTTCAAATTACCCCAATTGAGAGAATTAGCTGAAATGTAATTAATAATCACTTATGGTGAAGGATCATGTATTTGGTAGCCACCAAATATTTATGCAGTGATTTTTTTTTCTTTATCACTCCACCCCAGTTTATGAAAGAGTTAGTAGAATAAGAATAGGTCAGTGAACACTGAAATATTATTCATCCATATTCATCAAGTGTTAACATTTTGTCACATTTACTCTTTGACACCCCCCCCCCCGCACCACCACCAAATGTCTGTATTCTAACTTTTCAGCTGCCAGGCCAGGCAAATTTGGGGCAGAATTCTCAGGACAGGACTTTAGGGACTGATGTTATATTGTAGGTTATCATTAGGAAGTGATCCAAAAGTAGAATTT